ATATACATTGAATACATTTTCTAATTGATATTAAGCTGAACATTCGCTCCAAGTCCAGGTTAGCGTACTATCAGGTTTGCCTTACAGCATCTAAGATCAGAAACGTAGAAAAGTTGTTTTTTCCCCTTTCCAACGGACAAACTCGCTCTTATCGACGCAAGAAACTAAAATTTAGCTTATTACGGTCTTCACTTACGGGCGTATGTGTTTCATACCTTGCCTGAAGACTCCCGACCGCGTACAACACACACCGAACATTCCTGAGCATTAGCATAACGTTGACTATTCTGTACTCTGAGATCTCTAAACAGATTTGTCTATCAGTCAAACCTTTTAATATCTCTCTTACTCGCTCGCTGCATAGCTGCTCGCATACCGTAACATATGCAACGCATTAACTTATGCCCGCCCCCGACAGTCGTGTTTCTCGTGGTTCCTCCTCCCATCCACTTATATTCCTAACCACCTTTCTTATGCTTCCTTATATTCCCTGAGTCACTGCTACACAACCAAAAAAACGATGTTCGACTGTGCTCGGCTCTTTTAGCTAACGAAAAGAAAGAAGCTTTGATATCATATGATATTGAACAGAGAGAGGAGCATGATTTTCTCCATTTTTGCATAGGTATTGTGAGGTTGATCGTTTTATAGTTTATCCATTCATCTTATGAGTAATGAACAAAACATCCCACGTGTTTTGCCAGGAAAATGACTTTGTCTTACTTTATGGTAAATTAAGGATGTGTCCTCCGATCGACTTCATCCATTTTCAATACCAATCTGCGGGCGAGAATTTCTAATGGTCTCCGGTCGTGTTTGAAGACGATAGCTTAATTTTTCCATTCAGGAGAATGTTTACTATAAACACTGTAGATGTTTACACACAGACCGAGAAACGGACGTGCATGGATCGATCTAAAATTTGGTACTAATCACGACTACATACACTTAATAAAATTTCTAAACCTTCTCAGTGAATGTTACAAATGTGTTCATGAAATGAATATATCTCCAACGCCCAGTGATTTGTGTAGAAAAGTGGTTCAATGTTCATTTATAGATGCTAAGAGAAAGTTAAGACCGAAGACATCAAAGGTTTGTTGGCTGACAATTTACAGAAATTTGTTAAAAATATGTCTCCGGCGGCTTAATTCCGATGAAATGGGTAATACATTCACAAGCAATAAAATTAATTTTATACGTATTTGCGTGCGCATGTGTACCTCCAAGATCTACACTTTTCTACACTGCCACTTTTAAATTTCAAAAGCAATCGAGCTGCGCTTAGCAAGTAAAATATTAAAGTTTTCTTCTCTGCTTTAAAACCTCAATGCCGCATAAAATATTGCAATTTTTTACTGGGTTTGTTTATATGACTTCGTCCTTTTTGCTAACAAGGAGTGAAGAGAATGTACATAGTACAATAGAGTGCGGAATAAAACCGTAAATTCTTGATTTGAATGCATCATCTTTCAGCTATACGCTGGAGACGAACCAGCTTTTCTCGAAGCTTTGAATAGGTGTAGATTTGGGGCAAAAAAAAAAAAAACTCATTTGAGGAAACTCTTCGTTTCCTACTTAGTTCGACGGATAAATGCAGAGTAGGCGAACCATTAACATCGCCGATAAAAGCGATTATCCCGGGGCCGTCTCACGTCATCAGATTGTAGTGTGTCATGCTTTGTCCCATCCAACTGTAACTATCACCAATGAGTACAAAGAGAAATAATAGATGCGATTGGGATGAGAAATGATAGGCATGCACCAAAAGTCATGATATGGTGAGTTTTCTTGAAAACAGCCCCATGTAGCAATTAGGAAATGCTTGCAAACGTAACGCGGAATGTCCTAACGCTCCACCCTCACTATTATCAGCAAATACCACTTCTTCCGACACACACTGATATCAGCAGGTGACTTCTTGGCTCGTCAAGTACACAGCTTCTACTCTCATGAGGATGACGACAAATGGGTTATTTTTTTTGTGGATAGTCTTAAAAGCCCACTTGTCCGCCTCGCATCTAATTCTTTTTCGGTATAAAAAATGAAAGAGGTAATGTTTCTTGTTAGACAATAAATTGAACAAAGTAACCTCTGCCAATTTAATCCATAGCTATATGGGAACGCTACGGTCACAAACACACAGATAGCAAGCTAAAATTTTGCATAAACATTCTTTGATTAGTTAAGAACCCGCAGATAGAAAATGATTGTGGTTTGCTCACGTTTACGGCCTCTAACTGCCGACAATTTGTTGCCTAAAAATTTTGATCCCGATCAGTTCAGCAACCCGCGTACAATTAGTGACATATGTTCATCAAAAATGAAAATATGAAAAAATTTCGTAGCTTCTCCGCATTTGTTTCAGTTTCTTCTGTATTGTGGGCATGAATATAATAAAATTACATCAATTTGTAACCACATTTCTCTAATCGATCAAAAATATTTTATGCTAAACTTTAGCTTTCTTTCTTCATTTTTGCGACTGCAGCGATTCTAGAAAGGTTATTGATGAAAATAAAGCATTATAGCGCAAATAGGTTTTTGTGATCGTTAACCTGAAAATTAGAACATAACTGATTATGTGTACTTAAAATTCTTTTCGTATAAACAGAAGTCGTCCAAATGTATTGGAACTTTACATGCTTTATAATCATTCCTTTTTTTGCTCCGAACTCCCAAGTGGTCACATTGATCCACTTGGTAATTTTGGTGTTGAACTGTAGCTGTTGCAAAGCTTAATAATTGAAATCTTTACAATTATTATCTATGGTCTTTTGTCACTTATCGGATAGTTTAGGAATGCCCTCGCAACAAACACAAACAATCATTGGCGCATTTTTGCTCATCTTTAACTTCGCAGAACCGCTGAACTGCTAAATTTGACTGCATCGATCTGAACCATTCCTATTAAGGTTTCCAGGATGTGTCGCAATCGGGAAATGCTTCAAGTCCGAGTTGAAGATCAGTTCCTAGATTGCTTTGCGAATGGAAACCGCTTTCCAATTATTTCGTATCTCACTACAAGCCAACTCAATCATTTCTGTTGCTTCAGTCGCACTTCTTCTTCCCAATTTAATCGAAAAACAAACGCAATGGCGTCAATAGCATCCGTCTCCTTACACACTGATATACACTGATCGACAGTTAACAAATGCAACGTATACCGTACAAATATCAATGTCAAACTTATATATATATATATATATATATATATACCTGAATTTTGGAACAAATAAATGCGTCATATACCTTTTATGAAGCGAGCAATTCCAATCTAGAGAATTGATTAGTACGCTTAACGTTTTCGCTCATTTATTTCGGTATAAAAAACAACTACCGAAAACTATTGAAACCGATAAGAAACAGATTATCTTGCACATTAATCACAATTTTGATACCTACCTGGAGATTGAATGGTGCAACAGAGCTCTACTTTTCGAAAACTATCCTATACTCACCAATCACAGTCATGCGTATTCTAAAAGAGATTGATCATCTAATCGTGTCAACATCTTAACGGCAATTAAATCATTAAAATTATATAACCAAGTTAAGTTGCTCGCGCTTAGAGAAACTCATTTGCATTTACGTAAAGGAAAGCGTCGCGGGATCGTTAAGAACAAACATCAGTACTTACCTTTTCAAAAAAAAAAAAAAAAAATGTGTTTCTTCAAAATACATTAACTTGTTCTATATTCCGCACAATTGATTAACACGAAAAAATTTAATTTTTATCATATATATATAGCTTAGGTAGCCTAACATAGTTTTAATAGAAAGTTTGGAACGATCGTTGATAATCGCGCTTGTAAGTCAATAAAGGGAGTAATGCAAGATAATGCGAATAATACGCAAAACCACAGCGATAAACTTAGCTCGTTTTCTTCTTTTATTTTATATCGATCTCTTCTACGTTCTTTTGTGGGACAAAAAAAAAATTTAATTTGATGGCACGCCTCCATTCATAAACGAGTATAAAGGCGGCCTAAGATAAACGAATAACTTAATATGTCAGCTAAGACACACTTTGGCTATTAGTGAAACTCCTCAAAGCACTTCCCTAAATTCCAATATAAAACAACGGCCAAAAAAATCGCCTACACGTAAACATATACTGTGATGGACTTGTCGTAGAAGAAGAACTCGATAAAGATAAGAGGTTAGCTACAGAATAAAGGACTTGATTTAAATCTCAGACGTAATACTCAACAGTAGTTCCGGGAGAAATAGCCGCAGACATCTTAACCGGTTTTAGTGCGTTGTAAGTCCCATGCCTACGTAGGGCTTCACATTTTTTTAACGCAAACAATGAAAACCAATCGCCGCAAATGCATTCGTTTGCCAACCAATTCTGAATTTTAAATGCTGCTGAGTGGTACGACGAACTTTCGAATTGATATATACGCACATAAATGCGTCCATCAATAACAGTTCATAAGTCAATAGGGCGAAGACGTGAGACGACACGAGTGCACTGATGTTTGAGTCATGTAAGCCATGTAAGCCATCTAAGTATCTAGGAATATATGTGACATATATGATTCGAATTATTTTTTTTTTCTTTTGTTATTAGCACTTTCTCTAATTTGCTTAGATTGTTCGAACTAGACGGGCATTTGCGCAGGTAAGCCATTTTCCCATATAATGCAGCAAAGAGAAATAAAGTAGTTTACGATAATTGATTCTTCTCTTCTCAATGCTTTTCATACACATCGATAAATGCTCTTCTTATTAGTTCTAAAGATCTAATTATGTAGAAAAATAATCATTTACTAGCGATTCAAGAGAATTTTAACAAGTTCATCATGAAAGTTCGAGAACTCGAGTAAGATAATAGTAATAATAGCAATAATCTATACACGTGCAATACGTGTACTAAATACACACTATGTAACATGTAATATGATTCGTAAGGCTTAAGGTAATTTCGCTAATACGTATTACGGTATGCCGATCACCTTATCAAATATTGTTTTAATTATTACTTTTTTCCTTACCTCTTATTACAATTGCAATGATATGACTTTCGGAATGCAAACTAGCGGCCGACTCTGCCAACAGCAGATATATAAAAAAGGATTTTTTCTATATACACGTATACGCATGTACATGTATATGCATATATATGCGGTACATAAATAATGAAATAATCCACACAACTTTTCAAAAAAGGTCGCCAACTAGTTAACCTGATAATTGAAGTCGTTTTGTTTGTCGGTTCAATTCAATTTTTTCTTTATTCCGCGATTTTCGCTGAAAACTTGTGGTTGAGTTGCAGGAATACTTAAAAAAGAAAAACTCTTTGTTGACTTTTTTTGCTTTTCTTGTTGCTCTGTTGTACTTCCGTTGAATTATTTTGTAAATAGAGTGCATAAGTGTAGTAACTTTTTGCTGTTATAGGTATCGTTGTTCGGTGCTGTTTCTATTACTGTGAAATACTGCTATGCACTTGTAACACACTATACATTTTTACATTCGTAAAAAAAAAAAAAGAAGAAGAAAACAGTTGATTGTTATTTTTCTTTTTATTTCGCCATCATCTCTCTCTCTCTCTCTCTTCTATGATTACCATCGAAGATAGACAGGCGATCATAACAAATTTCTTGTTCCGTCCGTATTCATAAAAGCCATGTTTTGATCGTGTGTCCATTGTGCCCATTCGCCCATAATATGTGAAGTGAGAGTCGTTTACAAGTGGTATTTGATTTTATTCGCAAACCGATAAAAAGTTAATGTAAAAAACGAGGCTTCCTAGGAGCGATTTACCCTTCCCTACACGTTCCGTAAAAGATGACATTGAATTGCAAAGCGGCGGTCAGGGGCAACCATTATATACCCTAAGTCACTTCGTTTAATATAATTATTCATATATGTTATATGGGAAGGGGAACCATTTTGAATAGCGTACGTCCTTGGATCAAAAGATGGCAGTGTACGAAATTTCATCCAATTATTAGAAAGATTGCGACGTATGGGTTAAGCAGAAGAAAACAAGGCAGACAGGCGGGGAGGCGTACAGACAAGAAGGTGATTCTGAGTCGAACTATCAGTTCCGCGTGCTTCTGGCTGCCGCATATATCCTCATTAACTTAATATGCCCTTGCATCAAAATAAGTGTAAGGCATAAAAAGCACAAGATTCGAGATTCGCCCTAAAACGAATGTTATCTTTTCCCTTTTTTACTGCTTTTTTGTTTTTTTTTTTTTTTCTGTTTGGGAACTGTTTCTTTTCATTTACGAAATAGAAACTTTTTTTTCAATAAAAAATTGATTACGATTGGTGGTAATAGGGTGATGTTGCTGCCTCTGTCGGGTGAAACTATTGCTATTGAATTAAGGCAAAGTTGTATTTGCTTTAATTTTTTTAGTCAGATAAGAAGGGAAGACAAGTTTCGCCATAACACTTAAAAAGTATGAAAATAGATGACATAATGTGTATGAAAATTTTGTACTATTTTTGACGTGTTCGACAATGAACCGAAAATCGGATGGATCATGGGAGTTCGAAAGAAACCAAAGTCCCTATATAGAGATGATACCGTCTTTCTGTTTCTTTTTTGTTTCATTACTTTTCTGCTTTTTTTTTTTTTTTTGTTTGCAATTTTTTGAATACAAACACAGTAGATACGATAATGATGTTGATGATCATATGTACGCCCAACACAATACACTACAATTTCTTCTTACAACGCAAGAACGGAAAAATCTTTTTTTCTTCTTTTTTTTTTTTTTTTTTTTTATTTTGTATTATTAAATGTCGGCAAAGTTTTCAGTACTCAACAGAAAACAGCCTACAACATAACAACACCAACTAAAACCTGAAGAGTGACTTCAGTTGACGTTAGTTATTCAGTTTTTTTTCTTTTTTGCTTTCAGTTTTATATGTATCAACAACGTTCGCTTGAAAGGTGGTGAAGGACGTTGTGACTGTTTGTTGATATCGTTGTTGTTGTCTTCATTGTCGTCGTCTTGGTCGTCTGTTCTTGTAAAAGGTAAATTCTTTAGTGGCACTTGCAGCCCATATGCAGATAGTACGTCAGATATGTTGGGCAACGGCAGATGTTGCCCGATAAAAGCACAGAGACAACATATTTGTTTGTAAAACACTAAAATTGTGTATATGTGCTAAGTTGTTCGCTGCAGTTGAAATTTTACCGCACCTAATACTTTAGTCTAGCTTTTCATCTCGTTTTTCTCTTATTTATATGTATTATGTTTATAAAAAAAGAGAAAAGCTATATATATATATATATATATATATATATGTATATATGTATATATGTACATATGAATGTATACTTTGCAAGTTGTCTTTCGTTTTGTTTTACGGTTTTACGGTTTTTCTTAATTTTAATAGTGACTCCTCTTACTGGCTTTTCTTTTTCAGAAAACCAAGAACAATTTTTGTTTTTTTATTTCAAGTTTTTTGTTCTTTAGGTTTTCATGCCGGTTTGAAAATGTTGATGTAATGTCAGTTAGGTTTAAGTTTTTTAACGGTAATATTTTTTATGTAATTTCTCTTGTTGTTGCTATTTTTTTTTTTTTTTTTTTGTTTATTTTTTTTGCTTTTTTTTTTTAGATTTAAAGGAGACTTTTTCCATATACGCCTAAAAAGCACGTACAAGCATATATAGGCAGACGGATGTCAGTGTATGCATGCACATGTGCTTGTGTATGTGATTGTGTGTACGTGTGTGTGTGTGTGTGTGTGTGTGTGTGTGTGTTGTAAGTGTTCTTACAATTATGGCAAAAACATTTTCTTTTCGAGCATGTATGAATTTTTAATCTTTATTTATCAGGAATTTCTTACATTTTCGTGTTAAATTAAAAGAAAAAAACAAAAACAACAAATACGAAAAAAAAGAGAAAAAAAATTTTTTTAATAATTAAATGCACGCGATTATCGCACGAACATACGTTTATGATTGCAGTAAGTGTTGTGCACAACCACAGCAACGCACAAGGAGTTATTATTTAGCCCAGGAGGTGTTTTCCGCACTATTTTTTTTCTAGTGGTCACTTTTGTTTTTTTTTTTTGTTTTTTTTTTTTGTTTTTTTTATCTTGTTGTTTGTTTTCAAAGCAAAACCGAACTTTTCACTTATGTATGCGTGTGGTGTTCACTACTTAAACCTATTACAATTATTAGTACTACAGGGCTATATAGTTCGTGACTTTTTACCGCTCACAACACTTTGCTTTGAACGTAACGAACCGGTCTCTAGCACTGAACTGCACTCATTGGGAACAGGTCCACGGAGACCCCCAAAAGTAATAGTATAAACTCGACAAATCGTCACATGGCAAATACAAGCCACGGTAAGTACCTAAGCGCAACATAAAATGCTATTGTTTTTATCAGCAACGACAAGTAAAAAACACTCAAATCCATCTGTTTCATTTCATTCAAGTTCGTTCCTATTTAATGTGCACGAAAATGTTGGAGTTGCAAGCGCTTATACCTCTTCTTGTCTCTCTTTGAGTATTTATTTGCCTGTTAATTGAGTCAGTGCTTTGTTTTGATTGTCACACTACGCACACTACAAATGAAACACAATATTTTCCAAGCGCTTTCAATTTTCTCTTTCCCTCTAACTCCACATATATTTCACTCATTCACAACCTGTTTTCTTATTGGAAGCTGTGACGAAGTGCTTTGCTTAGTTTTCCTGTCATATGAAATGATTTTAATTTTTTTTTTTTTTTTTTATTTATTTTTTGAAATTTTTCCTGAGCAGGTGGAAACTCATGCCGAATGTGCAAGCAAGGCAAAATTAAGATATTATTGTATTTGAAACATTAATTTGTGGAAAGTTAGCTTTAAATAAGCTTTTAATTATAAGCAAAGGTTAATTAAACAATTTTTATCGTTTAACATCTAAAGTCATTTCAATTTTGAAAGCAATCAGAGAGAATGCAATCAAATAAAGGACAATTAGCGACAAGGATTCTCAAATCATTTAAAGATGACCAGGTGGAGGTAATATTTTCTTTTATATTGATTGCAAACAATCAAAATATGTTCAAGATATTAGCGAATAATATCTTATTTGACGCGAATAAATGCAGAAAGATTCAGTCCTTTCGAATGACACATAAATCGATAAAATCGGATAACAAACAACACTCTCCCAAATAGTGGTAGTACCCTACTCTACTTCTTGCATTTTTGCATTCCATTTGCAAGCAAACATTATAAAGCGTATGCTCCGACGCGACACGACCTATTCTCTCAACACATATGTTCAACTTTTCTACTTATCGGAAAATATATACGTAGCACTAAAACGCATTCAGACACAGGGTTCACTGAACGCAAATTTGGTTAAAAAAAAAAAAAAAAGAACAAAAAAAAGCGATTAACTTCTCATTATTAAACAGTAAGCTTGGAGAACTTGAAAGCTTCTCAAGGATTACAATACAACTTAAAATGAGGCTTTCAAACGAAACAACTCTGTATTAGCTATTCGAAGAATAACCGTACCAGCTTTCATCATGATTTAAATCACAAACAGCTCGGGCGGCCGGTACAATGCTCATGGCATGCTCTAGCCCACCACGATCTCAAAGAAGCAAGAAGCAAGAAGCAAGATATTTTAATATTGACTCTATATAGAGTTTTGTAGGCAATAGAGGCTTCCAACGAAGGCTTCCTTTTGTTTTTGGTAAAAATGTAGAAGCTATCGAGATCTTAAACAAAATTTTAAGCTGACTTGAAAGCTTCGCGGCTTAATATTGAAAGCTCTATCAGCCATAAGACCATTTATTTACTGAATCTTTGTTTCAGCATTTTTTTCTTTTTTTCTTTTAATATGTATTTGCGACCGATATCTCTGCTTTAGTTAATTAAAGTGATCCCATATCCAGTTCCGTGAGCCGGTGTCGTTACATATTTTCTCTCGAAACTTTGCTTACAATTGATACGAAAGGTGTAGGTAGGAATTTTCTTCCCGTCATCAGTTCGAATTAAATCGCTTTGTGTTGCAAGTTTGATGCACTAACCTTCTTTTCGTACTGCCTTAAGGAGTATTGTCATTCTGTTTTTGCCGCTTATTTTTCTTCACTTGGCTTACATTTCTTTTTTCTATACTTAATCATTCAGCTTCCTATAAGTGTAGGAACGGCAAGGTTCAGAGAGGATTATAAATAGAGGAGTGGCGTAAAGTGGAGCAGCTGCTTTTCTGTACTTGGCAGAAAAGTCGAGGACTCTGCAGCGGAAAAAAACACTACGATACACGCTCAAGTCACAGTAGTGCGGAGGAAGGTATACGAGCCCCTCCAAGGCGAGAATAGGAACGTTAAAAACCCATATAGTCTGAGAAACAGTTGGCTATTCTCATAAGCCTCGTCACTTATAGGCATCTACGCCTCTCATCGTATGCGGCTAATTGCCTACAAGAAAGACCTGCAATCTAGCGCACACACAACAGAAATATACTTTAATTCCGGGCATGCGATACATATCGACTGCAATAAAGTAAATCTTGCTTCGCTTTATTTTTGTAGCGTTACCGATTCATTTCCATTGAAAATGCTATGGAAAAACGAATGAATATTTATCACTTCACATATCATATTAGTTGCCCGAGCCAGTTGTATTTCTGACGGCGCAGGGTATACTTTTGTGTGTGTCATACACTGGAATTCATTAATGAATACCAAGCTGAGGGAGGCAAAAGAATAGAGTCTTGGGGTACAGCTGCAACGTTCATAGAACATTTAGACAGAGCAACATATTACTTTCAACCATGTTAATTCCACTGAAATGACGAGATTCTCCATTGCTAGGAGATAGACCATAACGCCGACACCACATTGCCGCTTATGAGAACTTATTGCTAATTAAATTATTGTATGGCATTTGGATAATAATTGTGTTTGTGCGTATGCTGATGAGTCCTGAACTTCCTTCGATTAGGGTCGAATACTGGCAAACTTTTGTCTTTGTTTTGCACTACTTTGTCTGTACTCGATATAAATGCGAAGAAAATAAAAACAAGGAAGAAGCAAAGCACGAAAAAAAATATATTTACACTTTGGTCAACAAGTCAACAACACTTGCAAGTGACGCATCTCACGCATTAGATCAGCTTACAATCATTGTGGCATGTTCTCGGATAATCGCCAAAGATAAAATTCACTTTGTCATCGGCCTTAGAAAAGCAGAGATGCGAAGAAACAGCGCAAAGATCTTGAAAAATTAATTTTCATTTTGTGCTAAGGAAATCTATACCAGTTTAAATAAATAAAGTAATTAAGGGAATATTACGTGTGCGTTGAATAAGCATATGCTACGATTTTTTTTCTTACGATGACTGGCCTATAACGCCTACCCGATGCTGTTGAACTCACCGACACTGCAGACCTAACGTACTACAATCGATGTATTGATGAGTTTGTTTTGTTTCTTTATTTATTTTAATGACCCATTTGGAATTCTTTTTAAATCCTCAAACTCCAAATCCTAATCTACGTTATTATGTGCGAACGCTATCCAACAGCATCAAACATACAAGTCGCATACATTTGCATTGCAGCGACCTGTTAATTGCATGTCTTTCCTACCTACCTACCTTACCTTACCCTCCGATGCAAGAATGGTTCAAAAAAAAAAAAAAAAAAAAAAAAAAAACGATATCCACCACATGGAGTCGGAAAAAATGCAATCGAAGGTAAAAAAGAAATGTTTTCGAAAAACTTTTTCCAATTAAGTAACATGTTGTTGTAGCCAGGAACAGAAAAACATTAAACCGAATAACAGTGCAACAACAACTACAAAATAAACCGTTACACATACTAATTTAAGCCACTAAAATCAAATGAAAAAAAAAAAAAAAAAAAAGGAAAAGAGAAAACACGGGTATACGTAGTGGTCAGTGGTCGTCATTGTAATGAAAATATTTCTGTGTGTGTGTATGTATGTGTGTATGTATATTTCGTTTTGCCGGGATTCGTTTTGGTTTGGTTGATATTCGGCTACTCTTTCTTTAACTTTTGTTTAACTAATTACAACAATTTTGTGGTTTCTACATTAACACACAAACCAGGACGCGGCCGGCATAAAATTTAATACAAAAGAAACGGCCTGTAACTGCACTGATAGATAAACTTATACACTTACATAAACGGACACGTACAACACACCAAAAATGCTTTTGAGCATCCAATAAATACACAGATTAATAGTGCGAATTGTAGGTAATTTGTTGTTGTTATTTTTGTTGTTATTAATGTAGCGAATACGTTACGCATTGATTTCATGAGATTTTCTCTTTTATTTTTCTTCATTTTTCGTGGTTTTTTATTTTTTTTTTTATTTTTACTATTTTATTGGAATTGAGTTAGATTTGAAAGCGTGTGTGGGTATGATGCCCCTATCCAGTAAGCGAAACAAAATAAACTCTTTTAGAGGCTTAACCATAGGCGGACGAATGGACAGACAAAGAAAGTAAGAAACAACTAAGCGAAAAAGCAAATGCTCAGACATATTTGCATACATATTTACACAACAGTCCACGCCGTCTGTCTATTGACAATATTTGCTTCTCATTATCTACGCTAAAGGTGTTGCGCTTGAAAAAGCTCATGCGCAACTAACAATATGTACCGCTAATGTATGGCATTGTGAGGATGTTGATGCTGGTGGTTATTTGGTATGTGTCTGCAGCGTTTATCAGTTAATGTATATACGTGTATATATATATATATATATATATATATGAATGCATGCGTGTTTGTTTATTTGCGTCTGATATGCGGTTTGTTTCCTTAAAAATTGTTGACTTTTTTCGTTCGCATTGCGTTGCTAATAGAAAAATAACAATGTAACGGTGTTTGAGTTGTTTTTTTTTTTGTTTTTTTTTCTTGTTATTTACCGATATTTATTTAGTTTTTTGTTGTTACTGTTGTTGTTCTCTTGAAATCGACTAAAACAGTTTTTATTTTTTGCTCCTCTTTTTTTTTTTTTTGCTTTAACACTGCTTGCTTTCTTTATGCGTGCGCTATATTGTAGGAGCAAAAATAAAAAAAAGCGATAAAAATAAAAACAAAGCAGAAAACCTTTCGATAATAGAAGAAATAAACCAAAAAAAAAAAAAAACAAAAAAAAAACAAAACTAAGTTTCTGTTTTCGTGGCTTTTCGATGAGCGAGAGAAAACAATGGCCAATTCTGAGATTTAATCATGCGCGTAATGTGCGCATGCGCAAAAACTGTCATACCACTCAAGCCCCTGCCAGCCAAGTAGCCAACCAGCCATCCAGCCATCCAGCGAGCCTTTCAACAAAACAATAAGCCACAAAATCCTACTATCTCTAGTTTTCTTTC